TTCAGTGTCTTCTTTAAGGCCAACAATACCATTTTATGATGGTATCTGAAGTCGTTTCATTTTTAGCCCATGACTAATTACATGGGCATCTTCCAAGCCAACAATGACCTCAGTTTCAAAGCATTCTAGCTGGGATAACATTTTGTTTCTAAAACATTACACTCATTCCTTTGCGCCAACCCTAATACCGAGTTCCCCAAAGTTTAATCAGCTACATTTTTCTATCAAGTAGGCTGACTGCTGTAATATTGGCAGGGGGAGGGATGTTGGAATCAAGCGGTATGAGAAATAAAGACTACTTAGATGGTAGTCAGAGAAAAAAATGCATTCTTGTCAAGTAAAAATAGCTATATTTGGTCAGATACCATCTCCTAGTTACATACTATTTCCTTTGCACTCATTTTGGTTAAAGACTAAATAAGACCCGCAGTGGAAGTCTCGACATTGAACTTGATCTGTATTTTTTAAAAAAGCAAAATCTATCCTTGTACACTCTCTGAATACCGATGCTATTCACCAACGCCTGCCAGGTACCAGAGCAAACGTTGAGAGGACATGCCTACTGTGAGCCGGTGTACTCTGCATTCAAACCTGAAAGGCCAAGAAAAGGCTGTAGCTCACAGAACACCAGTGGGCAAAATGCAATCAATAGTATTATCACGTCTTTTGACAGACTTTAGAGGTATAAAATAATCAAACAAACAAACAAACAAACAAAAACAAAAACAAAACAGAAAAACAACAGCATTTGAATTCATGGGCAAATCACAGAGGCCAAATGTGAGCAGAGGGATCAAGACACTTGTTTGTCCCTCTGAGCAATAATGTAACACACAGCGTGACACTCCCAAGAAAACCACCCAGCTTCGAAGAGAAATGCAGGCCATACAAAGAGTCTAGCCTCATCTACATTATCTTCTATGAAATTACAAAGGGGAGGGCCTGAACACGAAACCACATCTACATTTTATGTCCCATGTCAACTGTATGCATGTCTAACTGTAGTGCTTCAGCAAGAACCCAGAAAAAACAAACAAACAAACAAACAAAAAAAACAAAACAAGAACAACAGCAATAATAACGGAGAGGTATAGTTGTTAAATGCCTACTGTATACAAAATCCAAGGATTAGCTTACTGAATTTCATAATGATGATACTATGGAATGAGATATTAGTGCCTTATTATCATTATTCTCTTTGGATGCGACAGGGTAGGGAGTGTTTTACTCTGACTTTGAAAGAATGAAGACTTAAGTACTCACTGTCAAAGAACAAAGTTTTCAGGTGTTCGGAACTCTGTTCATTCATTGTTGTCACTTGCTTCCAGGATGTCTGAAGCCCTCAAAATGCAAGGGTAAGTCTGCGGGACCCTGCCTTCCAGTGGAGGAGGAGAAGGCCCCGGAGAGATGCAGCATGCACCTGCAGCTGGGAGTGAGCCTACGAGTCCTGCCGGTTCTTAAACCACGCTGCTCCTGAGAAATGCAGCCACTGTACCAGATAACCACCAAGTCTCCTTCCAACCAAACACATTCCAATCTGAAAGCAGAATTACACAATCTCTACAAATAAATCCTGAGGCCAGATGTGGTGGCGCACACCTTTGATCCCAGCGCTTGGGAGACAGAGACAGGCAGATCTCTAGGAGTTCTGGGCCAGGCTGGTCTATAAAGCGAGTCCAGGACAGCCAGGGTTCTGTTATACAGAGAAGCCCTTCCTCGAAGAACCAGAAAAAGAAAGAAATGCTTTCTAATACTGAGGTGATATGAATGAGATGGCCCCCATAGTCTCCAGCCTTTGAATGATTTGTCCCCGGTTGGTGGCTGTTTGGGGAGGCTTAGGAGGTGTGGAGGAAGTGTGTCCTGTCACCTGGGGATGGGCTTTGAGGTTTCAAAGCCTGGTCCATTCCGCACTCTGTCTGCTTTGTGCTTGCACTAAGAAGAGTGAGTGCTCAGCTTCCTGATCCTGCCTGCAAGCCTTTTGCTCTGCCATCAGAGCAAAACAGTGGCTCCGTGGAATCTGCCTCAGTCACCGTGCGTTATGACAGCAACAGAAAAGTAACTGATACCAGTACCTTATGTCAGAGCAAAACCCATTCCAGCAACCGCCGACAGGATTCCGGTGTGAAATACTTACGGTAGTCTTGTTAACATACATGTGGTCCCACTAGCCTGTCTTTCAGGGGCCTTACAACCTCTGACGTCATGCCACCACCCGGGGTGCGCTGCCAGTAAAAAGGACCCGCCTGCGCCACCCTGCGCTCTCTCTTTCTTATACACTCTGTCTCTCTCTCTCATTCACTCACTCATGGATGCTCCTCTCCTCTCTCTTCCCTACCACCTGTTTCCCGCAGTAAACTTCCTTTATACCAGTCTGTCACATGGCATCTTAATCATTTAATAACAAGTCTTCTGTGGCAAGGAAGAAAAACAAAGGACCCCGGCCTGTTTTAACATGTGTGGGAGAGAATCTTCTAGAACTGTTTTCACATCACAGACCGAGATTCATTTATTCGTGGATCATAACGTCAATTTAATGACTCATAGATGGCACTTTGGTAAACCTGAATGAACTATCAAAACTATACCTAATACTATACTGCAAATACTTAGGTTTAATGGTGCTAGCCTGTAGGCACTGGGGTCAGTCATGGATATAGCACATTTCTTGGTTCAAGCCTCAGTCAAAATCATCAAAAAAAAAAAAAAAAAGCTGTGCGGTGGTGGGGCACACCTTAAACCCAGCACTAGGGAGGCAGAGACAGGAGGGTTTCGGAATTCAAGGACAGCCTAGTCTGCAGAGCAAGTTCTCTCAGACAGCCAGGGCTACGTACAAAAATACTGTCTTAGAAAAGCAAAAAATGAAAACATAAACAACGCATAGTGGAAAGAGACCCAAATGTCTGGTATGGGAAGAGTTCTCAACTAAACTTTGATGACCAAGGCTTCCAGGATCAACACTTACAATACTTCTCATCTGCAATTATAGAACTTTCAAGACAGGCTGAAGAGCCAGCTCTGTTAGCCTTGCAAAGAAATTCTAGGAATGTAGTTGAGTCAACACTTCCCCAATAAAACACAGGCAATAAAACTGTGGAGAAACACAGGATGCCTGAAGGAAGTGCACGGAGAAAGTCAGGGCTCTGTGCAGAAATGCTGATTCTGGGCTGGGGGGGGGGGGGAGGAGGAGGGCAAGAGACACACCCTGAACGAGGGACACCACACTGAAACACACAGCAAGGAAGCCTCCAAAGGTGAGCTTGGCGAAAGGATGCTCCGGTCACGCTGAAGGATCCCGTGATATAGGAGGGAGAATCAGAACCGTAACACGAGAAAACCCAAACGTGTAAAGACTTGAGAGCTCAAATAACACAATGTTTACTTCTACGCTGGTGACCACCACACGTTTATATCTAAAGCTTGGCGAAGTGTAAAAGTCGTTTTGTCTCTCTCTCTCTTCTGCACTGATTTTCTTACAGTTGGAGCCAGAGAATTTGTGAAGCTGTTGTCTTCTCTGCAAGCGTGGTGGCCTATCAAGAAATACAGAGCACCAACATCCATCTTGCCCCTCCCCTTCCCAAGGCTCACGAATCACTGTAGAAGACAGGGCGAAAAGAGTAGAGGAGCCAGAGGCAGAGGATGACTACATGGAAACTGTACCTTCTGACAGAAACTGTACCTTCGGACACAGCACGGCAGCTGCTCATACAGGACTCACAGTGGTTTCGACAGCACGCACAAGACCTGTGCAAGCCCAAGCCGGACCAAATCCCAGCATGCTGAGGGAAGTAGGACACACAACCCCACTACTGTCTGTGGAACTACTGGCAACTGTTAGCTGCCAGTAAAGAGAAAAAGATAGCATTCTCATTTTCCCCTGGAAAAATCAACCACGATCCACACATCCAAGAATACTTGAGCAGCACAAACTGGTCTTGAAGTCTTGAAGGATTTGGGTGGTAGGAAAAAAAAAAAAAAAAAAAAGACATCGAGTTGAGCGGGGGAAGAGGTGGGGGATGAACCTGGGGCGAGCTGGGGAAGAGGAGGAATGGGATAAAAACACATCGTACCAAACTCTCAAGGAATTACAAAGAAGAAATGCAGAGCAAGTCTAGGGAGCCATCAAAGTATTGTCTTCAGTGAAACAAAGAATTATGGGCAGTGGCTGCTAAAAGCGCCAGATAAAAGGTAGCTAACTTTATAATAACACATCAGGCTGGAAACAGCTGAACTCACAAGTGGACCAGGGCCTCCTAATGGCACACAGTGAGAATACATCTAAAAAGATCCCCCAATGGAGAATCTGAATCCAACCGGTCCCTCAGACCCATTACAGGGCGGCAGGAAATACAGGAGCCAGGGAAATGGTTTAAAAACAGCACAGAGATAACAATCAGCTAGATTACAAATACAGGCACCCTGCAAAACTTGGTTTCCTCAATAAATAAGGCCAAGGAAAAGCAGTGGATGGAACTGTAGCAGGCTCTAAGAAACCTAAAGACTCACTCAACCACATCCTTGCCAACTTCATTTGGTCCTGATTTGAACAGACACACCTCAAAGGTACTTTCCCAGTACTGTACAATTTGAATACAGACTATCGGGTTACATAAAGTCTTATTTTTAATTTTTTTACATGTGCTAATAATATTGTATTTGTTTATTAAAGGGATAAAAACATTAAAAAAAAAAACAAGAAAAAGAAAACATGGTACGCATATAGAAACCCAAGCAGCAGATACCGAACATATACAGGCCCCTTTTGAGAAAAAACATTTCATCTTTCTGGTAGACGTGGAATTCCAAAGAGCTGAGAGGCAGGTCACCTGACTCCTGTCCTTCAAGGGAAGGGGCTAAGTACCTCTCTGTAATGGATCTGAGCTGGGCAGACACCACACAACCGACTTTTCCTTCTGTTTCAGGATGTGTTTCCATTTAAAATGCAAACATACAACCAAAGACAGTGCTCCGAAGTACCACACACAAACTATCAGAAGGCTTACGCAACAGAGCTGGCAAGCAAGCACGCCTCCCCGTTCTCTTCCTGGAGCGCTGAGCTTATTTTCCTTCCTGCAGCTTTACTGATGGACGTCTTCAGCTTCTTGGCCAGCTTTTTCGGCGTGTTGGTTATGGACGACGATGATTCCTCCGCGCTGCAGCTGTACACTTCTATCTTTATCTGGAAGTCTGGTCCGGCGTCGTGGCTAAAGGCAAGAGCAGTTGCAATGCTGGGAGCCTCATTCAGGAGAAGAGAACAACCAAGGCGCCCTGCCTGCCTTTGCCATATTCAACATCAACCATTGAAGCATACAGAAGGGGACATGATGCTCACCTATATCTAGTCTAAAAGTCACGCTGTAACTTTTAGAGGCCACCACACAGGCTCCCCCTCACACGTGTCCTTTCACTCTCGGGCCCAAACACGCACACAAAGAAAATACACAGACAAACTCTATAGTTGGCGGATGGATGGTTGTGAGTTCGAGGATAGCCTGGTCTACAGAGCTAGTTCCAGGACAGCCAGGGCTACACAGATAAACCATGTCTCAAAACAAAACAAAAACAAAACAAAACAAAACAAAAGACCCAACAAACAACACCCCCTACCCCCAAACCAAACAAAACTTAGAGCGACACACTTAGGACTACATCCATCTGCTGATTCGACCTTAAGACAGAAGGCAGGCAGTCCCGGGGCTTTACAATTCAAATGGCCAATCTACAGTTTGGAGAAAGCCAAGAACCAACTTGCAGATATTTTTATAGTTTCTTACTTGGCAACTTCTGAACATGCAGTATTCCTGGTAATCAGTAACAAATGTCAATATTTAGAAGAAAACCAGAGATTCATAAATATTGAAGACTTATTAAAAACAAGCATCATAACAAAGAGCACATTTTTTTTAACATTTAGAACATTTGTCAGCAGCTATTTTTAGGCCAATTTAAAATATTTATACAAAAAAATACCAATAAATCATATGTTGTCTTCTAAGTCATTTGTATTGTTCTTCCTGCAGGGGGAGAGAATGGGGGGAGGGGGGTCTGTCTAACTTTTGTCTTTGTGGCAAAAAACAAACAATAGCAGAGTGATGTGAAGAGAAGAGCAGATTAGTGAGTGGGATAATTTTGGCAGGGGGGGGGAGAAGTCATTAGCAACATCTGAAAATAGAAATAAAGATAGAGAGATAATGAAGGAAATACACTTGAGCCCGAATTCTACAAGAACTTGGGGCTATCCCTGAGGCAAGACAGGGTCTAGCTGAATTCCTTTGGCTTCAACACAAGTTGTAAAAAGGCCTGTGTTACTGCTAACAGCCAGGGTAGCACGTCATTCTGTCCTATATGATTACTCTGGGACACTAATGCAGAAGCCACAGAATACTGTCTGCCAAGGGCCGGTCAGCGTCACAGGACTGGCTCTGAGATCTCAAGTATCACTGAATACTTGCTAACACTGGATAGCAAAGGGCATGCTACAGAACCCACAAGAGCAGGTTCCGAAGCTAATACCACTCAATATAGAAACGGCAGCTTAAAAAGCTCCCAAGGAACAGATCCCAAGAGGAGGCAGGCCAACAGAGCCTTCTAAAGGGAGGCCAGGAAAAACCCACGCTGGTTAAAAATGATCTCCACGGCTACCGGAGGAGCTGCGTCAGCCTTTCTGTGTGAGGACCATAATAAAATGGGCCCTGCACAGAGCAGGGAGATAAAAGAACCCTTAAGATGGCTGGGCTGCTCTTCTTTTTTTTTTTTTTTTTTTTTTTTTTAGTACATAAGGGAAATCTGCCATAAGAGAAAAAAACACCCCAAAAGTCACCATAATAAGCACTTAGAGAATGACGTAGAAGTAAACTTGCTTTACCACTTTATTGCTTGTGTCACTAAATTTCCTGTGAAGAAAAACAAAATCAGCTTATGCCCGAATTCACTGTATTGCACCAAACGCAAAACAAAATTCTATTATACCCATAGCTTGTTTAACAATAGAAATGTAAATATTTGTTAAAAGTTTAGCAGAGCCAATGAGTCAACTCTTTGCTGCTAGTATTAACTCTAAATACTTCTATTTTATTCTGAATCCAGAAAAGCGTAACTTTTAAACATTTTAAAGCTGATAATGCTTTGAAAAGCATCCAAGGACCACCAGGATGTAGGCCATCAGAATTTGAAGACAGTAAATTAGGCCTTCTTTATAGATAAGAAAAAGAGGCACAATTTCAGATCTCACTCTTTAAGGGTTAAATATACTTACAATATAGTGACATTTTCAAAACATATATCTGTGATTGTCTGATCCACGATCTCCATGTCAGTATCAAACACTTCAGCTCCCATCCTGAATAAACAAAAGATGGCGTAGCGCTGTGTGCCTAGAGGAGAGACAGCGGTAGCAGCCATCACATGCGGAACAAATCATGCCTGGGTGAGACACTCACCCTGCCACAGCCCCTAGCCACTGCTTCCTGTGTGTGGCGGTCCCTCACCCAACTCAAACCCAACCGCAGACCAAGGAGCAATAAAAATAAATGTTGAGCAGCGCGTGGTGTTGCACAACTTTAATCTGCGCTCAGAGAGGCAGAGACAGACGGATCTCTGTGAGTTCAAGGCCAGCCTGGTCTACAATGTTGAATCCAGGACAACAAAGGCTACGCTGAGAAACCCTGTCTCAAAAACAAACAAACAAACAAACAAACAAACAAACAAACACTGGTCCCTCAGCATCCCAAAGATATCACCAGCGTCAGATCTGGTCACTGACAAACGCTATGCCCTACTAGTAAATTTAATGCCTCACACAATGATTCCCTTTGTCACTTGATGTCTTAAGAAAAAGTGATTTTTACTGGCAGGTACATCAACAGTGGCCAAATGTCTTCCACCAAACTACAAGCAAGGGAATAAACTACCTGAAAACCTCAACATTCTAAGAGCAGGCAAAGCAATGACGAGACAAGGGAAAACGAAATGCAGGAATGAAATAGACAACAAAAACAGCTGCAAAGCCTCTCAATTTGGTGCTGTTCTCGAAAACACTGAGTGATTAAAGGGCTAACTCATTTTTGAGAAACACGGAGCTCTTTAGGAAAGTTTATCCTCTACAGTAATCAGGAAGATTGACTCATTTCCCACATGCATTCCTTGGTGAAGTGAATTATGTGTCCTAATTGAAAAACAAACACTAACCTGATTTAGATTCTTCGCCCTAAACTAATTATGTCCAGTACCACTCGGCTTTTGGAATATGAAGAACAAAGCCATCACAGAGGACAAGGCAGATAAAGGGATATCAGGGTGCCAGGCTTTGCCTCACACTGCTAGGGAACATTTCAGGTTAACCATCCACAATCCAAGCAGTACAAAGAGTTGTGAATACTGCATGCATCCAATAAAATGGTGAAGAAGAAAAACAAACAAACAAACAAACAAAAAACAAAATGAAAAAAGCCCCCCAGAAACATAAAGCTAAAAACCTTTCATTACATCCTCTTAAATAATCTACCAATGCAAAGCACAGACCTTCTGGGTCATCAGAGAGATTAAAATGGCACCTTTGCCGATTTACTCCATGCTTTTTGTAGGGAGGGAGGACGGGATGGGGGAAGAGGGCACTCTACCTTTCTCCCCATCTCTCCACACTGAGCCCATCACACAAATTCCCACCAATGATGGGAGCGTGTAGTCAGCACGGGTATCTTAATCCGAATCAGGGAACTGATAGGCAGGCCCCAAATCAGAAAACAACAGTTCACCAACACTGTGCTTGTTGCCAAATGGCAGCAATCGACGGCAAAACCAAAGAATTCTGTCCTCAAAAAAAGTTTTTAAAAAATCATAAATTTGCATCTTGCGCACTAAAGAAAACGTTTCCAATTACAAATGAAAGCCATACATACATTCTTTATTACTGAAGTGATCGGAGTCTTTCCACATCAGTGGTATTCGAATATCTACAAAGAAGGAAAAAAAATTATTTTAGTAATTTTTATTATACCCAAGATGGTGAACCCCTGAATTCTATAACAGATTGTGCCCGCCAAAGACAGGAAGAAATGTACAGAACACATTGTCTAATTATTGCCTGGAGGTTTTTTTTTTTTTAATTTTTATTTATTTTTATGTGTTTGGGTGTTGAGCCTGCAAGACCGCTCTAGACCACTTGCACGGCTGACGTCCACGACGGCCAGCAGAGGGCGCTGCATCCGCGGGAGCCGAGCCATCGTCTAGAGACTACCATCCCAATGCAGGTCCTTTCAGAGAGCAAATAGACACTCTTAGCCACTGAGCCATCTCTCCAGATCTATAGGTGGTATTTTTAGAAGTTACTAAGTATATGTGAAATGATGGGGGGGGGGGGCGGTATTTGAAATGAAAATGTTTTCTTCTAAATGATTATTTTGGCTCCATATCTATGCCTTTCTCACCCCCCCCCCCCCATCTTCGTGATGTCTGCCTTAGTAGCTGTGCCTTTCTGAGCTGGTATCTGTTCCTGGGCCAAACACTTCATGGGTGGAACTGGATCAGTTATCAACAACTACCCATCCCAATGCCAACACCATGCTAGGGTTGTTGTCTTTCGGAGGCACGTGACTGTCACTGGTTCTTTATATGAATTTTACAATTCTGGCGGAAGTTCCCTTTCAAATATTTTAATATCCAAGCTAACTTAGAGACTCATAACTTTTTGTTTTTTAACATTTACTTTGTGAATGTGTGTGTGTAGTCGGAGGCAACCTGTGGAAATTGGTTCCCTCCTTCCATCGCGTGGGTCCCTGGAATTGAACTCAGGGAATCAGGGTTGCTGGCAAGCGCTTTTATCTGTTGAGCCCACCCACTGGTACAGGAAACTAATAACTTTTTAGTATTTTATCTTCACCTAATATATTCACTTTTAACAATTATTCTAACTTTGGCCCTTTTTGTTTGTTTGAGGGCTGGAGATCAAGCCACAGGCTCAGGGAAAACCTCCCACTGAGCTACGTCTCCAGGTCCTACCCTTCCATTTAATTAAGATTATTCTTACATATTTAATGCTTGAGGGGAGTGGTTATTTTATGGTAAACTACATTTTTCCATTATGTTCTCTAGCAAGTTATTGCTGCTTTTAAGAAAAACTACCACTTTTTATTTATTTATCCTAAATCTAGTCACATTTTCTTGAATGTTTTAATTCAAGTGTCTCAGTGACTTCCCTTAGGTCATATCCATCTGCCATTCATTAGCCTCAAGAGTATCCAATCTGCCTATTCATTTTCAATAGCTTTGTTTTTCAGTCATTATTTTAGCGGCAATTCCAAACGAGTGTTAAATTACGTTGACATAATAGACAGTGTTATTTTGTTCTTGATTTTAATAGGAAGGTCTCTATTGTTTTACAGTTATAACCTGGCCGATAGCCTGTCCAAACTCGCTTCTTGCTTGACTATAATGGCTGCCTCCTTTCGTTTCACAGTGGCTGAGGGTTTTCACTCACAGCCGTCCTGGCGGGGTATGGAAGTTTTAGCTCTTCCCTCTCATTAAAGGACACTGACCCACGCTTCCTTAGCTGCTTCCCCACAGCCTGAGGTCAAATCTGCCCTTCTCCAGGCCTCACCTCAGCTCCACATAACCAAAGGGAGAAGGAACATTGCTCCTCTGTGTCCCCGCTGGCCCCGCATTCTTCAGACAGCAAAGGATCCAGCTTCGAATGACAGAAACACCTAGATTCTGGCAAACGACCAGCTGGGTTTTAGCTTACCGTAGCCCACCTTTGTTTTTCGTTTCTATGTCTTTGTTGATAGTTTTATGGCAAACTAAGACGGCATAGCTAGCTTGATCTATCACATCCCAGACTCTAATTTTGGAAATGGGAAAGCTAGAAACTGGGGCAATGGCTTAGTGGCTGAGCACGTGCTGCACAACCATAGTTTGGGTCTCAGAATCCACTTACATGTCGGATGGCTATGGCAGCCGCTGTAACTCCAGCCTCAGAGTGGGGGGGGAGTCCCCAAAGAAAGCTGGCTCTAGAGACTACCTATCACCAGTGACCTGTGGGTTTGACCAACAGACCCTACCTCAAAAATAATAATGCGAAAAAATAACTGAGAATGGGCATGCACTTACACAGTCCACACACATGCAAGCATGCATATGAACATATGAAAATGAAAAATAAAAAAGAAAGAAAAGTGAAACGGCTGATCTGTGTGGGTAACTGATTTGGCTTAGTCACTGAATTTGGCTTGGGATAGCTGGGGGTGAACCCGTTATTTTCATAATTATGAAGATCTGGACAATGGAAACAGGTACAAGAAAGGCAAAATCTGGGTCTGTCTTGTTTACAGTGCAGTCTTAGAACTGCACTGTAACTTATGACACTTGGCTGCAAAAGTCCAGTTTGCCAAAAATCATGTTGATAATACACGCATCCTATCTTGTGGGGTTCACCTTAATTTCATTTGACAATGTCTCAGGAATAAAACAAAACAAAACGAAACAAAAAAGATTTTGGGAAGACAACCTCGGCTCCTGTACGAAGGTATCTGTGATCATGAAAAGCCCCCTTTAACTTAAGTGTTTTTCTTCAGACCCCGCCTAAATGCCGTGGCAGTAAACAAGCACTCTCAAATCGACAACAGATGATGTCAGCCGCAGATATCACAGATCAGGTCACCTACCTCATCTGCCTACAGAGCGGTGCCTCATTAGACGCAAGGAAAGAAGACAATGTTTAAGTGATGGCTGAAAAGCTCCTCTAAAGAGCTAATACATACATATTACATACATAATATGTACATTATAATATATAACATATATAGTTAGTTAGTTAGTTAGTTTGTTTGTTTGTTCTTGGCTGTCCTGGAATTCACCCTGCAGACCAGGCTGGCCTGGAACTTACGGCCTGCCCCTGCTGGGATTAAAGGCATGCACCACCACTGCCCGGCTAAGATCGACAATATTTAATCTACTCATGTTAGAACGTACTTAAACATAGAGGAGAATGTCCTGTTTGGCAGCAAAAGGACACAACAGTCAAAGCAGTGGGCCTCATGTCGGCCACAGGCACGAGGGGGATTATGACCAGGACACAGGTGATACACCATCGATGCAGAGGACCCATCAGCCACGGGAGGAGGCTGGCATGAGATAACCACAAACATGCAACAGGCTTTTACGTGGTTCACCGAAATTTGCGAAGCGCTTCTTTCTTGCTTAGCGGAGGGCATGAGGGCAGTTCCTCGATTTTTTGCCAGTGAGGTCCTAAATAAGATGCAGGTCTGTGAGCGACCGTGGTACAGAACAGTCCTTTGAGTGGCAGGCCAGGTGACACAGCAGCAGGCGCTCCATCTCGCTCGGACTTAGGCTATCACCTGGGGACAGCGCAGGCCACACTGCTGTTTCCAGGGTGTGCTGACCTGAGACATCAGCATGCCTGCCACCCTAACTGTGTGGCATTTCCACACCACTGTGTGTGTGGGGGGGTTGTAGCTGGGGAGCGAGGGGCTGACAGTTTGGAGAAACTGAGACCAACAGCCTGAGCGCCATCTAGCGGCGAGGTACCTCCTCCCTCTGCTGACAGGAAACATCTTTCCCGCTGGAGCAGCAATGGGAGGGTTTAAAGATAAGCAAACAGATCCTGGAGAAAAACGCCACGATTTCACAACCCAATTAGGTGTCTCAACCAAGGTGTGTGTTGACAAGGGAAGGAAAAAAAAAAAAAAAATCTGCCTAAAGCGCATGGCTTGTGTGACGGGAGACAGGGCCAGGGAAAGAACTGGGCCAGAAAGGAAAACTTGGTGGGGCTGGGGCACTTTGGTTCTCACAGGCTGAACGTGGTCAGCCGTCTACCCAATAGTGGCCAAGCAACCACCAGGAGCCAATCCCGGTGACAGCGGCCCTGGGATAACGTGATAAACAAAATGAACCCCCCCCCCATCCTCCCTCCCCACGAGAACTTGCAGCTTGGACAATCGTTGGAAACAGAAAAGCAAGGGAGAGAAGGCTTGTGGGTTTGCAGGCCAGCTCCGGCACTTAGAGCTGGTGGGTCACCTAACACACCTTCCACACCCCCCCCCCCCCCCCCCCCCCCCCCCCCCAGCCCAACAGAAGGAAAACCTGCACAATGGCGTAGTTTCCCCGACCCACGAAGTGCCATGCCACCGAGAAGACAGTGATAAAAACACCGAGGGTAAATATTCTGAAGGGGGTATGAGCGGGGAAGGGGGCAGACTGGGAATACAGAATACACAAGGCCAGTCGCTAGTCACAGACACATTCGGCGACACACAGCTACAGGACCGCAGCGTACCTGACAGGGCGATCTTCCCTTTGCAGGATTTTCCTTCTTTACTTTCAAAACTCACATCACTATTGAGAGAAAAACACATCAACATCATAAAAACTCTTTTTAAATAAGGTTTTTTTTTTCAAGTCTTTTACAAGCAGCTGAGCTATAAAACTAAAGTTGTACCTATGAATGCTAATGACTAATGTGAAGTACTTGGCTCAAAAGACGTTTAATCAAGAGCTAGCCATTAGGGAGACAGCAAGATAATCTCTTTTGAGTTTACACAAACTAGTATTCCTCCTAATGTGTACTGGTTGTACTATGACGTGTCCTTTTTCTTTCTCTCTTTCATTTATTTATTTATTTATTTATTCATTCATTCATTCATCCATTTATTTATTTATTTATTTATTTATTTATTTATTTATTTATTTATTGAGACAGGGTTTCTTTGTGTAGCCTTTGCTGTCCTGGACTCACTTTGTAGACCAGGCTGGTCTCAGACTCATAAGCTCCGACTGCCTCTTCCTCCCTGAGTGCTGGGATTAAAGGTGTGGCTGGGGATGGCCTTTTTTACATTCAACCCCATGGACAGTATTGTCCCTGGAACTGTAATCTCAAAACTTGAATTTCAAGTTCATCAGCTCCCCTGACCCAAAAGAGTCAGGGGCTGCCCAGGTACTCTGTGGGCTGTGATCCCTAACACTGAAAAATACTCCCCCAAATCACCTTATACCTTATATTTATGTGCATTTGGCATAATAACTCATTTCTTGTAGGTTCCAAATAACAAACATGTTATACACTAATATGAGAGGATAGAATTTGGGGAGAAAAACAGAAAACCATTTTTAAGGAAATTCTGAGATGTAAGACAACTCCAGTCCCCAAATTAGGATTTCATATCACTCAGAGCAAAGTGAGGTACCATTCAAGCCAGAAGATCACACCCTGAAGGCCAGTCTGTGCTACCTAGGGAGACCTTGTCTCACAAACACAGCAAGGGAAGGCCAGATGGCTCAGTGGGTAAAGGCACTTGCCGTCAAACCTGGGGGCCTGAGTTTGATCTCCAGGGCCCACACAGTACAAAGAAAGATCAGAGTCCTGCAGAGTTATTACCTAAAAATATTCTGAAATTATAATATAAATTCAATTCATCACAAAATTTTCCAGAATTAAGTCTGTTTTTAAAGATGGGAAGAATCAAACCTCAGACTTCTGGAACTTGAGTTGCTTTCGATTCCAATACTCTCAAAATTGTCATTCCAGGTTAAAGAAGCGGGAAGCTTTACCAATTCACAATCAAATTGTTACATAGGACCCTTTTATTAAGTTAGAGATACACTGGCTTGAAAACCCACAGCGGTCATGTCAAGTCTGAAGGCTGCGATCACAAAGTTCCGTGAGCGTACTTACCCAAACAAACCGAGTCTATAACATCATCATGTGAGACATGTAGATGATAATTTTTTTTTTTTTTTCCAGAGCTGAAGACCAAATCCAGGGCCTGTCACTCTACCACTGACTAAACTCCCCACAACCCCTAAAAGACATATGTAACCAAAATTAACAAAAAAGTCGCCTGTAGGTACGGAAAATGAGCAACAGAGGGCGCCAACCTGCCACTCTGGTACTCAAAAATCTGTATGAAAATGCTCTGAGTAAACACAGATTGGCCTGTTTTATATTGTTCCATATGGGGATTTTAAACAGCACTTCTTTGCCAAAACTAGCGCATTGTAACAATAAATAGCATAATGGCAACAATATTTTACATTTTCTTAATGAAATAATGAGAGGATTCTAAATGCTATTCTGTAGTTTGAAAGCAGATTATAAAACCCTCCACCTTTATGCAAATAAGTGAAAACTGCAACACTCAGAAATGCACAGCATGGAATTTAAAGCCACCCTAGAGCTCTGATATGTGATGGTAACAGCTTCATGATATACTGGATTATATCCACCCTGTGATACCTACCCCTTCCATAGACACCAAGCCATCTAAAATCTAAGAAATGAATTCAGCAACGTCTTTAAATACATGTTTCGTTATAGAACTACTACAAGTACAGAATTTTCACTTCCTATCTAGGCTCTTTCTTCTTTTAACTTATAGTACGTAAGCAATAAAGCAGGAGGCTGCAGTGTGAAGACTGGCAGGCACATCCAACTTGCAAAGTTATTTCGGCACTATTAAAAACTCACAATTTATGTTGAATGACACACATAATTAAATCCTATAAATGACATTCTTTTTTTACAAGGCCAAATAAAGCACTTCAGACATTGAAGAGTGGAGAAGAGCTGGATTGGCTGGGGTGGGGGATGGGGGTTGACAGAGGACAGTGCTGAGATGGAAGCTCTGTGAGTGCTGTGTGCTGAGCACCTCATCCAGTTCAGTGCCTCACCTGGCCGGGAACGCCTGGGATGGATGCTGGGAAGGGTGGGAAGCATGCATCCACATCCTTGGAATGGCTGGCGCATGCAGCAGACCTGGACTCCAGCTTTGGGCTTCACCCATCAACTTCCTTTAGGGAGTTGCTGCTAGCCCGGCAGCATCCATAATAAGGGAAGGGGGATACCCAGTTAGCTCACGCAACTGCGGAACCAAGTGACAATTCTAAAACCTGTGGAGTTCTTCAAGATGTCATTCGAACATGAGCACTAAGTTGTGAGCACGGATTCCTTGGCTGCAGGGATGAGCCCGGGGGTTAGGGAGAAACACAGCTGTGAACGTGGGCAGAGCCTAACCGGAAGTCCCTGTGAAACCACCATCTAAGGTTCTCTCTACCATCCCGCCAGGGACAAAAAGCAAGCCCTCCTGTAGCACAACAAGAAAACAGAGGCTGCCGAAAAAAGACCACTCTCTGTGGAAGACACGGAAGACCTCCTTGTGACCTCACCCCCCAGAGTTAGGTAACCACTAGCTAATGTTATGCCAGCCTGGAAGAGTAGGTCCTGGGGGGTTGAAAATTACTGAGGTTCAACTATTGTTAATAGTGTGGAGGAGAGTGGCACGCAGGGGGAGAAGTTTGGCCTGAAAATAAAAAGACAGCAGTTAACATTAAGACCCTAAGAAATGACACCATACCTAAGAACCAGAAAGCCAGCCAACCAGCGCTCCCCACACCATATGGTTCACTACTCTAAAAACAAAACACTATTGAGTAAGAAACCGAAGAAGCCGTTCTAGCAACATCCACTTACACCGCCAGGGCCTTGTTACAGGAAAACACTACTGTATTATTATGAACAGAGTAATAAACTCCAAAGAGAGACCGTCCTGTCCATACCAAGCCACTCTAAAGCAGAGAATCTGCTGAAAATGTACTTTAGCGGCCACATCTTCAAAATTGAGAAAATAATACAACTCAAACACAATACCCCAGAATGAATCGTGTGTAGCTAAAACAGGTCATGGCCTGTGGGGACCAAGGCCCGTAAATGTGACTACAAGAATATAAAACACCCACCTTTGGCCGGAAGAATAAACCACAGGCAGATACGCAGTGAGAAGAAAGAAGGAGAAACGGAACCAGAAGGAGTAAATCAACATTAAAACAAGCAGATTCAAGATGCAGCTGGCGAGAAGAGAAAGAATCCGAAGAATGAAAACGATTGGGTACGAAGAGATCACAACGGATAGGGCCCAAGGTCCGTGCAAGTGGCGAGAGTTCTTAAATTAAAAAACAAACGAACGAAAAACAACAACAGAAGCAAAGCAGGTAAAATGAACAGCTCATCTTCTAAAATGAATTTTTTTTTTTTTCTGAAAACAGAAGAAACAGGTTTTATCACTGGTCTTAGCCAGCTGGGAACCCTGTGAGCTAAAATAATGTCCAGTGCAGGAAGATATACACATGGGTGCCACAGTGGCACCACTTTCTGCTCGATTTAGTGCCCGCTGCACAAGAGGAGAGTCATGAGCAGGGTACTGTCAATCTGGTCGGGAGCTCTTGGATCCCAGGTGTGAACCTACTACTGTTATTTTGCTAAATGGACACGGCATCAAAATGCCCTCCAAAAATTCGGATCTCTCTACACACAAATCAGGGCAGCTCCCAAACCTCATGAAAGAAGTTTCTTTGGTGGACGCAGAACAGCGCAAGCCAAGCGCAGAGAATAAGCGGGTGTGCTGTGTGCCACTGCAGGGGCCGCCCAGGAACGGAGGCAGAAAAGATTGCTAAGGGCCGGAGGTCGGGGAGAACCAGAGCCAAACAGTGCCTTCTGGACATGACAGGACCCTGCACTCAAGACCTCACAGCGGCTGTGGATGCCTTCGTGAGAGCCAGTCAAGGGTCCAGCACGTAAGGGGTAGGGGTTCCTGAGATCCACCAGAGCTGAGGAGCCACTGGCAAAAGTTGTCTTCTGGCGGAGGAAGAGTCAGTTTTCTGTAAGGGAAGGGCCGTGTGGGCCAACCAAGCGCTCCTGGTTGGCCACACCCACGAGAGTCTGGACAGCAAAAACCGAGTCAGGCGGTTACTAAAAGCAGACGGAAATCCTTTGCGGGACTGCAGCTGATGGGGACTGCAGCCGATGGGGACTGAGGGACAGAATCAAATGCTGCAAACCCCGCTGCATAACTGATTTAGGGGAGGGTTAGAAAGGAGTGATGGAGCCACTAACGGTAAAGCTCGCTGGATGATACCCTCCTCACCCAGTCCCGGCACTCAGACTCTACTTCTAAAAGGCAGAGAGAGAGAAAAAAATGCAGCAAGAAGCTGAACTCAGTTCCAGGTATAAGTCATGCTCTGCAGCACCGGCCTATAATCTATCGCTAGGAAGGCTGGGGCAGGGTCACCGGTTCAAGGTCCGCCTGGGCAATGCAGCTCCAAATCAAGAACAGAGAAGGAACCGAGTCTGGGCTTTACTTGGCCCTCGCATAGAGCCATGGGTTCAAGGCCGTCAGGCCCTACAGTCAGCTCCCAGCCACAGTGAGAACACAGACAAGGCTCCAGAACAACGAAAGAAAACTTCGGGACCAGTGCGGACGGTAGTACGCTTAAGAGGTTTGAAATGTCTAGACTCTTCAAAGCGTTAAGGACATGGGAATTTTAGAAAAGGTTAATTAAAAGACACCAAAGGGATGTAACCAGACGCACTGCATAAAAATTAATCAAATTCTAGTATTAAAAAAAAAAATAAACCACTGTGAGGGATTTGTGAGCAATCGGATAAGGGTGGGTATAGAAAAATACGAAATTATTAACATTTTGCACACGGAGTCGTATTTTGACTGTGCAGAAGACAGACACATGTTCTTAAAGACAGACACATGCCAAACTGCTCAGGTGCGAACGTCCTGTTTGCAGAATGATGCGTGCTGGCAGGCACTCAGAGAGAAGGCGGTGCAGGAGCGAAGGTGCCGAGAGATTAACCAACGGGCGAACACACTCGATGCTTATCTAGGAAAGCGCTCCTGATAAAGAAGAGGGTTTTTTTTAAAGGCAGAAGCAGGCAAACTGAGACACTGTGGGCAACAGGAGGCAGTGGTGACCTCGGGACACGAAAGGTGGCTGCTGTTAAGGTGAAGCTGAATTTTCACTGTAACTTGGAAGGGGCACAGGGGCGCCCTCCGCCGCCGCCTGTAACTGCAGAGACTTTCTGTTTTCAATTCCGGTAGACAGAAGTTAACAAATGGGGCAGGTGTCCTGCAGCCTTGGTTTTAAAAGCCTTTGACTAAAGTGAGATAACCTGGTGGTTTCTGCCAGCTGCCGGTGGTGGTTTATGATACCGAGCACTTTAAGTGAAGACCCAGGAGTAAGGCTGTGAGAAACTCATCCACTGGTTTGCATTTCCTCCTTTCTATCTAATCAAGTCATTTCAGGCGCTGGGGAGACGGCTCCAGGGGTGCTTACTCTTAAAGAGGACTGGAGTCTGGATCCCAGCACCCACCACTGGGGGGCGCTCACAACAACCTGTCGTTCCAGCTCTAGGGGATCTGGTACCCTTTTCTGGTTGTCAAGGGCAACCTTAGCCATGGAAGCAGATGCGCACGCACGCACACATACAAATACACACATACGCATACAATTAAAAGTAAAGTAAACCTTTTAAAAAAGTTATTTCATGCATGGTGGATCATATCTATTATCTCAGCAGTAGGGAGGCAGAAGCAGGTGAGATGCGGTGAGTACATGGCCAGCCTGGTCTACATAGTAGGTTCAAGGCCAGCCAGGTTTACACACTGAGGCCCTGTCCTTTGATGACAAAGACAAGCACTATTTCATACTAGATCACTGCTGTCTCTGTGTCTCCCTGTTCTTAGCCATTTGTCTTAACATGTGGCCACTTCATTATTTTGTTCCCCCAAACACGGCTCCCTTTTGCTTAGAAGGAAATGACTAACCCTTCGTAAATCATCAACCAAGCGCATTTCTTCTCTGTCCTCTTTAGCTCGTCCTTCCCTGGAGGCTTGCATTTGCCGTTTGTTTTTGGGGGGAGCAGTTTCGTTCCTCCTCCTCCTCACCTTCAGTCCACAAGAGCCAGCTCACACCAGGTGCTCCTCAGCCATACCACTGCGCACTGATCCGGGTCTGCACTGAGACCTGGTTCTCAGTCTGTGGGTCGCAACCCCCAGGCCCACCGGGAAATACGTGCCATTTACATTAAGATTCATAACAGTGGCAAAATCACAGCTATGAAGTAGCAATGAAAGTAATTTTGTGTTTGGAGGGTCATTGCTACATGAGGAACTGCATTAAAAGAGCGCAGCATTAGGAAGGCTGAGAACCACCAATCTAGAGTCTATGAAAATTTCTGACATTTTATTGTAAAATTTTAGAGGAGTTAAGACTGGTATCCTTTCCATTAAAATGGTATTTTAACCAATGATAATATATACATACACTACATACATATATATGTAAATATATTAAAGCACTTTTTATCTCCCTCAAGCACTAAACAAACTAAGAAACAGACCCCTGGTTCTCCAAGGGAAATGTGTTTGCTGCAGATTCTTGTGTGGCCCTGAGATCATACACTGTCACACTGCGCCCTTCCAACAGGGACATCGGAGTCCAGTGCTCAGTAAGCTTACAAAAGTGTCAGCTGCTTGGCGAACCTGACTAATCAAATGGCAGGGTCTATGTCATTTTCTTCAAGGAACTGAAGAAGCTGTGGGAGGACTCTCACCAGCCCTGCAATGACTTCTGGCCAATAAAAGTCATGGCAAGAAGTGGGGCTGAGAAGATGGCTCAGCCCTTAAAGGCTAAGCTCACAACTGGAACTATGAGAAAGCAAGAACTGTAACTCCCATTATATTTGACCAAATATAATGCATCAGGCTGTATCCGCAGATACAGAAAGAAGCTATAAACAGATGGATCACACGAAGAGCCAGGAATCATCTGAATCCCAGAAATGTCAGTAAAGGGGCTACAGTGCTTTCATGTGAATGATGAAAATATAAATATGTATATGCGCAGAAAAAGGGATTTTCATTTGTGAGGGGAGAAAAGAAAAACTCAGAAACTTGTGCATATTTTCAGCACAGGTCCCACCTTTGCTATATAAATCTAATATGGATTAGGCTTTCTTGATCTCTTTATAAGTCATCACTCCAGAAAAGCTAAGATGACAAGTCAACAAAATGTTAAACTCACAATTTGTCACAATTGCCTGAGGAGTGGTAAATAGGGGTAAATATGGGTCTCAGAAGACTATCCCAGAACTAGAGAAATGGTGATATAAGAGTGAATGCCTAGTCTCACCTTCTCTTAAAGCAAGGCTTCTCAAATTTCACCATTTAAATGATCCCTCCCTTTCAAATGAATCCTCATAGAAGCCAAGCCTGTAACCCAAACGTCACCACCTTCTAGATGCACAAGCTGTGCTTCAAAAATATTCTGCTCTGCAGTGTGCTGTTGGCATCTAACTTTGGCACAGCTCCTGATTCATAGCACATCCTCTCCTGACCTGTGGTCCAGCTTAGGAACATCAGCCTCCAAAGGTCTTCCTGGATGCTGAGCCTGGCATAATTTTATGGGTAATGCTGGGGCATGCAATACAAAGAAGAGATGTTGAGTGCTAAACATTCCATCGGGTTTATACATATAATCTACAAAGAGATGTTACCTTATCATCCCCACATAACACAACTCAAGGACTAAAGCACGAAGGTTCCAGCATCTACGGTGAGCGAAGATATAGACAGAGATGTCTGCTGCATTGCAACCCTATGCCTGTTTCACACTTACAGAAACCTTCTCTGACATGTCTATACCTTATTTTTAAGGAATTTAATGGAGGGGCACAGTGCCCCACCCAAAGACCAATAAAGCACACAGAGAGGCCTTTCACTTGGACCAGAACTACAGACAACCAGGGACGGACTGAAATCTATCCTCTAAACTGAGTTCACCCAAGGTCCAGGTAAGACTTGGCATTGTCGGTGAAATAGGATACAATAGGACACACAAATGCTCCATCTACTCACAAGGACAGTATGGAATGACAGGTACCACAGGACCAGAAACTGAGCAGCAAGCCCTGGCTGGAACCAGTTACCAACATTCTGAGGACACCAAACCCTCCACCGGAACTTTCTCACTATAGGAAGGGCCGTTCTTGACTATTGTAAGTTTCCTTCCATTTATGTTTATAATCCGTGGGCCGCTCAATTCAAGTTATCTAAGCTGCTATTATCCTTAGTATAACTGGCACATCTATAAGAAATTAATTTTTTTTTCAAAGCAATTTTTTTTTTATAAAAAGTTATTTTAATTTCACACATATGGATGCTTGGTGTGCACGTATGTATGTGCAGCACATGCGTGCTGGGAGCCCAAAGGAAGACAGAAGAGGAGGGCATAAGGTCCCCCAGAACTCATATGTTACTGATGGCTGTGAGCAGCCACGTGAGTGCTGTAAACTGAACCTGGGTCCTCCGCAAGAGCAGCCACTGAGCCTCCTTCTCTAGGATCATCAGTTAATTGCTCAAAGACATTTTCCTATGGACTCCACTCTCGGCTTCTAGCCTATCTTGTTAGCACGCTCTTCATCCTTTGCTCCTAACCCACTTTCACGTTAGAGTGAAACAGTGTTCCACGAGTTCATTTTGAGCTCTGCTGTCCACACAGCTCTAACGTCGGCTGGCACTTCCAACATATGTTAACCTTTAAAAAGTTTGGTGACCTGACACTTTTTTTTTTTTAAACGTACACATATTACATTTTGTCTCCTCTTCAGACACTGGAGTAAACTAAAGTGAAGGTAAATTAACAGCACTAACCGTCTTCCGGTTTGATCCCCAATCTGATTTTCCAGCTTCTGCAGCTCTGCCGTGTATGCCTGTATCCGAGCATTGCACACCATGAGGTTCTTAACGGCGTGTAAAACCTGGTCTTTTTTTGTACTCAGGGAGAGCAGCTTCCATATTCCTTCCCGCATTCGGATTTCTAGGTCTATTTTCTCCCGGATGCTGCAGTCCTGAAATAGAAAGCCGCTTGTAAGAGGTCGCGATAGTCTAGAACTACCGTTGGAGACGGGCAATGGGAAATGTGCTAGACACCATTTGTTTTTGTGCCATTCTGAGCATGAACCGAGCTTCACAGAGTGAAACAAAGACAGCTATTTTAGAAAGCCATTTGCAAAATTCTTAAATTTCTTTCATTATTAGGAATTCTTTCCATCATTACTGGCTAAAACCAACAGAAACAAAGATGAGAAAAACATGTTGCTACCATAAACTCCATTAGCTCTGCAGGGTTCTCAAAACTCATGTCTACCCAGAACTCTAAAGTGTGCCCTTATTTGTATACAGAAGTTTGCTCATGTTATTAATTAAAGCGAGGTCACCTTGGATGAGAATTGGTCTCAAATCTTAATAAGGCCACGAAAAGACACAAGGCCATGTAAAGACACAGGCATACATACAGAGAGGTTGCATATAGATACAGACACAGAGGGGCTATAAGAAGACAAAGAAACACACACACACACACACACACACACACACACACACGGCTGGTCACATGAGGGCACACAGAGAGAGGGTCCTATGACGACAGATGCACGAGGAGGCCATGTGAAGACAGAGATGGAACCCAGCAGGTAGAGGGAATCGGCCCAGAACCTGAGAAAGGCAAGAGAGAAATGTTCTCGAGGGCCCACAGAGGGTGATAGGGATGGAACTGCCGACCTGCTGACTTTTGACCTCCAGAGCAAGAATGCGTTGGCCATTTGCTACATGTGCTAAGGCAGCCTTTGGAAATACACAATAAGTAGGGAGAGATGGCTGCTCAGCAGGGGAGAACGCTTGCTGCTTGTACAATGGACCGGAGTTCAGCGACCAGCACACACTTCCGGCAGCTCAAAACTGCCTGTAACTTCAGCCCCAGGGGAACCAACACCCTCTTCGCATCTCCCCTCACGCTCTTCCCCACTCCCACCACACACATATAAATAAAAATGTCTTTTAAGCATACAACACCAACGCACTACTCATCACGCAGGGTCGGATCATGAGTGCTACAGGAGGCTACCATATGACCGAGGGACGCCGAAAGAGCAGACAGCAGAACAAAGGCACCAAGGCTCAGCCTCAGAGAGGGCAGGGCAGGGCTGGGCTGGTCATCGCGGGGAGCAACAGAGACGAAACTCAGGAGCCAAGGCTGGAAGCTCCGGAGGCCTTGGCTTGTCGCCACAGGGACTCAGCTCACCAAGAAATTTCTTTTGTAATTTGGTTCTGGTTCTTGGTCTGCAGTGGCCTCATTCAAAACACAGATCTCGTCCGTACCATTAAGCCTATCAGCAACAGGCACAGCCCTCACTTCATCCCCAGGAACTGTAAGCATGATAAGCCACAAAGGCCCTCCATCTATATGTACAAGTGGGAAACCCACGTGTATCTAAAAGTTCGGAGGAGCCTGGCCTCAGCAGTCACAACTGTTACTTTCCGGATGTACCAAAATATCAGTTTAAAAATGTGCCTAGGATCTAATCATACAAGTGTGGGCAGTCATTTCAAAAGGAAGAAAAGAAGCCGGTTAGGGGAACGGACAGGCTTTGACCGTTAGCCACCAAAAGCAGACTGCTAGATGGTTTGACTTGACTCTCGGGGCTTAGTCGGCTGAGCTATTCAGGCAAGGGGACAGATCCCTCTAACCACCTTCTGTAATCACATCACAGAGTCGTCACACGGCTAGGGCGCCGTCCCTTTCCGCTCTTTCTTTGCGCATGACTGCATGCCACCAACTCTTGTTTCATCCGTGTAGGACTCGTGGGCCCCAAAGTCTTTTTTTTTTTTTTTCCTTTTCACGTCATCGGCAATTAATTATAAGAGCCATCTACGTGACCCACATGTCTACAGTAATGAACGGTGAAGGCTGGTTAGCGCAGCACGCTGGGAGCGACTTGAAGCTGGGATGAGCCGCTTTACCCCACGGCGCAAATATAGATAAGTGCCATCTGGCCCCTCAAAATTCAGCTTTGCCTTTTAAACGCAGCGACGAGACAGTTGATCAGACTGGCACAGAAGGTCTGAAAGCTGGCTGCGTCCGAGGATCAGCTGCGCCACAGAGAAAGGGCCTCACGAAAGTACCTGGCCCATTCATCCAGGGACTGTGGAGGCAGGGCCAGGAGTTTAGGGGCCTCAGTACAGTGGTTCTCAACCTGTGGGGAGCCGCTGCGCTCCTGAAATTCAAGGATCCTAAGGTTGCAACAACCTGACGGAACCAGCAGGGGGCCACAGCCACACTACACATTCGCCTGGGCTTAGGGCTTCCATCCTGTCTTCGAGGCGTGCCTTCTCCCAACACCAGTTGAAAAGGACTCAGGAAGCCACAGAAGCTTGGGAAAGGGTAGAGACAAGAACCCTCAGGTCTTCAAAGCAAAGCAAACAAAAGCTTAATTAATTAAAACTAAGTTAATGTTCACAAAAGAAATGAGGGATGCATGCCAGTTACTAGAATTTCATCCTTTGCAGCAGGAGTTAGCAAACTCTGGCCTGGTTGGTGCCTGGTTTTTGTTGTTGTACCGAGTCACAGGAGCTCATAAAACAGCATGGTACTGAATTACGCTGGCTTATACCGGCTATGGCCACTTTCCAACCATAATGGCTGAGCTGAGACATTTAAAGATGGTGTACGCAGGCGCCATCTTTGAATGCCACTGCTGCAAGTTTGTATTTCCCACACAACTTGTTAGCACACACCCACTCTACGTGGAGAAGGAAGGAACCCTGTCACCAACAACACTGGGCAGCCCTAGGCAAGGAACGGTTTACAGAGCAAAAGGACCAGTCTTCACTTAGGTGTGCATGGTACCGCCCGGGAGAAATCGATATCTGGGGCCATCCAGTGGGAATAGGGATCTCGAAAGCAGGGGAACCCACGGTTCATGCAGTGACGTTGACCAGCCTCCACGAGGCCTGAAGAACTGATATCATCCCTGTTTCTGCCCCCAGGGCACAGCCGGGCAGAGTTAAGGATGACTGCAAGAATCCTGCTGGAGTGGTGGACAGAGAGTCCCCAAGAAGAGTGGGTTAGCCACCCTCCCTTTCAGGGTTCCATTCTCCCAATAAGGGCCTGTGTATAATCGGGCCAAACAAACCCACATCGCTGTCCTGATACGGGAAGTAGTTAAAGCTAACAGCAGCTAAGAAGAAACAGAGCAAAGCTAAAAACTGAAAAGGCAGACCCTCTGAAAGTACAAGACGGGGGGGGGGGGTGGAGAGACGGCTCAACAGCAGCGCTTACTGTTCTTCAGGGGATGCATTCGGTTCCCAGAAGCCACAACGCGCAGCTCCAGGGGACCCAACACCTTCTCCTGGCCTCCCAGGTACCCCACACATATGAGCACAACACACACACAAATAAATCTTTAAGATAAATAAAAGTAGAAGTGGGGAGAGAGTGAGATGGCCCAGCGGACAGAGTGCTCACTGACCTGAGTTCACCCACAGAAAAGTCAGGCAGCAGGGTGTGCCTGCATAACCCCAGTGATGGGGAAGGAAAGACAGACAGATCCTGAGGCTTTCTGGCAGTCAGTCTAGCAAAAAGGAAAAGCTCCAGGTTCAATAAGAGATACAGTCTCACCAGGAGCACATCTCAGGACAGGTGTGGCAGAGGCAGACATATCTCTGTGATTTCAAGTTCAGTCTGCCCTACAGACTGAGTCCCAGGCCAGCCGAAGGCTACATGCTAAGATCTTGACTCAAAAAATAATGGAGAAATAAAGACACCGAAGTTGACCTCTGGCCTCCTTATGTGCGTGCACAGACAAGCATAACTCTACACACGTGTGCACGGAAGAGAAACTAGAGAGTAATCTAATTCACGTTCTGAAACAATTTATAAGGACAAAAATGTTTCTTCTCAAACTTTATTCCCACTTGTGCTTTCTGTAGGAGCTTAAACTGTACAAGGAAGAATGGTTAGTTGCTCGGAGGTAGGACAAAGGGATCTAATAAAAACAGTCATCTCGCAAGCTTGTCCTCCTGCCACTGCCTATGCTCCCTCAGATAGAGAGGCCAGTGAGCCCTACACCTTTCTAAGACAGGCATTTCAGCAGTTCTGCAGCTGAATTCCATGGCCTCAGTTCTAGACTCAGAACCCTAGGTGGACTATTCAGAGTTGCACAGCATAGTGAGATCTGACCCGAATCTCAGTCCAAAACCAGTACGCTGTGTGTGAGGAATGGGAGACACCTCCCAGGTGGCAGTAGAGCTCAGAGGACCAAACCTCTGGTCTCATCCTATCAGATCACAGATCTCATTCGGGGGGGCGGGGGGGGGGAGACACACACCGAGCAACTCAGTGTTAGCCAAGTACAAAATTCCCCTCACTCAATATTCCTGTGAAGTTGAAACCTATTACTAGTTTGTTGTTTATCTTCAAGACACAAAAACAGAGTCTACATTTTAATTGTTTTGATATTATAATGCTTAGAAATTTAGTATCTTACCATATTTACGTAAACCAGCCCTAACGTATTTGCTATATATGGTATTTGAGTATCATACAGTTCCACGGAAATCAGGCTTGGTGGGGCACTCCTATAATCTCCACAGAAGGAAGATGGAGGCACGATTCAAGGATATCCTTGGAAAATGCAAACAGGACAGCCAGAAGTCATAATAAAATAAGAAGAAATGCTCTACAAAAGATTTGCAAGTTTTGTGACTGTTAGAAAACAGCTCGTGTTGCTATCTGTACGGTCTGCACGGTAACTCGAAGCCAGGCTCAACTTTTCAGAGAATTACTGAGGACTTCCTAACAATGCCATATCTACTGAAGAAATTCTATGAAACGGCAGTCTTCGTCTTGACCCACAAATCTGTCAGCTGTATATGGTTCAAATTACTATACTTCAGGAATGCAAAAGAAGGGGAAAATTAAAATGGAAGTGAAGATGTAGGTAAAAAGACACGAGGGTTTCCTTTTCATTAAGATGCCAAAACAGTGAACAGAAAGAATGCTTTTAACACTTGACTGATGTTGCCAAGAAATATTCTCAACCACATTAAGCATAAACGTTTTACCTGGCCAGAAAAGCAAACACTGGATTCGTTCGCGATTCACCTTCCTCCTTTTTCCTAGTATTTGTGCAAGGATCCATGCTTAAACTTACACCTTTCTGTAACCCCTGTGCCCTCCACAGCTTAATGCTCGCCCACACACCGCTGTGAACAGCGCCCTGCGTTAGATGCACAGGTATGCGGGTTCCCGCTCCTGGGGCATCCCCTCCTTTGCAAGCTGGGAAAACCCGCAGGTGGGAAGAGCCCTGGCGTCTTCCTCCAGCCCTGGGCTTCAGTCTCCTCCCTGGGTGCAGCCTACGGGCGTGCAACACCACGGAGCACGCGCGGCTCCGGGTCTCCGTCCAGGCTGCAGCTCGTTAGCCCCCTGCCTCGCTCACCTGCTGCGCGGGGAGGACCCTCAGCATCTGCCCCTCCATTCCGGCGCAAGTCGCAAATCCCGGACGATTTGAAAAGCGCGCCCCGGGGCTGCAGCTGCAGACCGCACCAACTGCCCGGCCGTACCAAGTGCGGGCTGCAGGGGGAACCCAGCCCACGGCGCCGCGCACGCGCACTGGGGGCGCTCCGGCTGCCGCCGCCAGCGCAGTCGGGAAGACCCGAGGGCTCTGAACAGACCCTCGGCAACGACGGGCCTTAAGCGCGGGCGGGGGAGAGGGCGGGGCCTGGGAGTGTGGTGGGCGGGACCGGCAGGTGGGTGGAGCCCTGGTGGGCGGGGCCTGAACTAAGATACTACGCCTGGGTGGGCTGCTTGGAAGCCGGACGGGGGAGTTGGGGAAAGGGAGGTGTCTCTGCTAGTGGGCGGGGTGGGGCCTTAGGTGTTCTCAGGTTTGAGAGCTAAGCTTTTTCCTGCATCCCGCCTGACGTTCTTTAGACGTGGACCGAGCCACTGAGCTGAACCCCGCAGGCTACTCAAGGATATAAGGTCCCATTGACTGGCTCTCAAACCTGGTTTCACCCAAAGATCGTGCTCTTCAAAGGCTGGAAGACAGACACCTTATCAGACGTTTTTCGAGTTCTTCTGTCCCTGGGTATATTCGCTTCTGAAGTGGCTCTCCAGAAGCCTGGTCTCAAGGGTTGGACTAGGGGGCCTCAAGCGTGGCAGGCAACTGGTCTACCTCTGAGCTATCCAGCTCAAACACTACCTTTAATTAAAGGATGTACACACCCTTGTAAAGTGTTTCAAATTATCCCTCGGTTTATCTTGAACAGGAAATGTCAGGGCTTAGGACATTTTCCTCCCGAGGGAAGACTCTACCTACTCAGCTCTTCCACCTCACCTCACAAAAGGCCTGGGGCACTCCTCCTTCTAACAACCGTCTGACCCTGCTTATTTATTTACCTTGGACATCCCCTCTTGGGTCTGTTGTCCCAGTGTTCCACCTTCCTCACGCTTGTCCCAAAGTAGACTTTAAGTTACATGGTCATCTTACTCACAAACCTCTTCCTTAGAGCAACTAAGTGGAAGATGTGCTTCCTAAGAACGAAATGTGTGGGCCAGGGAGATGACTAGGCAAGAAAGGGTACCTAGCTAATGCCAACCTCCTGACCTGAGTTCCAATCCCCAGGATCCATACGGTGGAAGGAGAGAATCCACTCCCAAAAGTAATATCCACGTGTGTGTCAGGACATGGGCATACCTCCCCGCCCCCCACTGAACACACGCACACGTACAGACAGAGAGATATATCTATACATCTATAGATAGATATTTGAATATGTATATCTGTGTGTATGTGAATGTATATCTTTCTTCTCTCAGGTGGGTAATTACCTATTTGAAAGCCTCTGGACTGGGTGATGAGATGCCCAGGTAGGAGGGACTTCCTTCTAGCAGCCTGTAATGACCGACGATTGTAAAGTGTGTGAAACTCAAAACTGCCAACACCCACCTCACCCAGTTCCCTCCAAACACAGGTCCGAATGCATTGTCATTAGGTGCCCTTTGCCCTAGCGCACAACTCGCTTGTGCTATTACTTTGTGGCATAATTATCCCCTGCTAACCTGTGCTGCAGAGGCCAGGCACAATACCTGACTCACAGAAAAAATACACAGAGAGCTCATCTTCAGATGCACAGCGTTTAACCATGCAACACACACAGCTCTCAGACTCAGATCAAAATACGCGCCGAGGGCAGCACCTGGAGAAAACCAAAAAAGATGAGCCTCAAAATGGACGCTGATGTGGAAATATTGATGGATGAGTACTGCAAATGTAATCATCCCAGGAAGAAATCTGGGAGAGGCCGTGTTTAGTCCTTAACTGTGCGCTATAGATAGTTGCTGTTATAAGACGTTTCACTTGGAGAAGAAATAATGTCAGCCTGTCTCTTTCTTAATCATCAAGGGATGTGTCCCGGAAGTGCTTAAGTGCTTACTGACTAGCTGGTGATTAAAGTACCTCAGAATAGGATTTCTGTTTCCTTATTTATCCCCACGTCCTTTCTTGTTACTGCTAGTTTCATCAAACATAGTTCTCTTTGATGTCTGTAATGCATATAAAAATAGAACCAGACATCAGAGCACCAGAAGTTTAAAGTGTGGTAGCTGAGGATGTGCCCTGATTGGCAGGATGCTTGCCTAGCCTGCACAAGGTCCTGAGTTCATTCCCCAGCAGGGCATCATCTGGGCATGGGATACATGCCAATAATCCTAGTACTCCAGAAGTAGGGGCAAGACAATCAAAAGACCCAGGTTATACTTGGCTATCAAGTGAGTGGAGGCTAATGAGGGCTCCAAGAGACACTGCCAAAAAGAAAAGAAAGTGGGTTAAAGAGCTCACAAAAGTAATTGTATTCATTTGACAATTTATTTCTCTAGCAACTAGAAGAAAATAAGAAGTACTATTTTTGACTATCCCAGAGCTAAGTTGAGTCATCTTTTAACTCCCCTCAGGTTCTTCCAGAATGTGTGAGCTATTCACCCACCTGCTCAGGTTTGCTCCAGCTGGAGGCTGAATAAGGGGATCTTTTCAGTATTGATTATAATAGGGCATTATTTATATTATCAATATGAAAAATAGAGATTAATTCATGATTAAATAGAAAGCAATAGAACAAAGCAACCAAATAAGACAATAAGTGTTAAAAGTATGTTTTCTTATATTATTCTTCCTAACTTTCATTGGCCTGGAACTCACAAGAGATGCCCCTGCCTATGCCTCTGGAGTACTGGGATTCAAGACATGCCACACTGTGCCCAGACTCATTGGCTTTTTGAAACATAGTTTTTTACAGAATAGGCAGCTCTTGATATTTTTATTTCACTGAAGATTCTCAAAAAATTTTCCCATTTGAAAATTATCTTGGAGAGTCAGTGAGATAGACAGCTTAACAGGTAAAGGAGCTGGCTGCCAAGGCTGACAACCTGAGTCCTATCCCTGAGACCTATGTGGTAGGAAAAACAGAACTGACTCCCATTAGTTGTCCTCTGACCTCACACATGTTGTTGTATACTGTTGTATACAAATGCCCACCCTATTCTTTCATCCCCACAGGATGGATAGATAGATAGATAGATAGATAGATAGATAGATAGATAGATAGATAGATATTCTTTTTTTAATTTAGAGGGGTTTCTTTACTTAACTGTTCATTTTGTAGGTAATGAAATTAAAATGAATTCCATAGAGGAATTGTATTTTGTATTATATATAAAAGGGAAGGAAAGGAGAAAGAAGGGAGGAAGAAAGAGGGAAAGGGGGAAGGAAAAAAGAAGAGACAAGGGGGAAGGGAGAGAGAGAGAAAAGGAGAGAGAGAGAGGTAAAAATGCTAAGCAGAGACATTATTTTTTTAAATGAATAAGCCATAAGCTACAAACAACTGAAGCATCATATAATCTTACAAAGGATACAGGATGCTGAGTCTGAGGACTTAGCCCTACAATGCTGGAAAGGCTGCTCATTTTCCTACCTGTAAAACAAGACTGCTAATAGCTATCTTGTCTTTTTAAAGTAGAGACAGAGACAGATGAGATAAAAAGTGTCCTGAAACCTTCTCAATCCACAAACAGAAGCCATTACTACTAAAGGAAGAACTTACCTGCTCCTAAAGTCAACCATCTTGGACCCAGAGAACTCTTAAGAGCAGACTGGGGAAAACATATATATTCAGAAATATTCATGATACATCACCTACCACTGACAATACTGAGAATCTGTATGCGTAGGGGTCGGGAAGGGAGGCTGGTACACACCTGTCGTCTCAGCTGTTGTGAAGGCTGAGGAAGGGTTAAAAGGACCACCAGGACCATGTAGCAAGCCAGTCAGAATAAAATAGAAAGGGGCTGGGGATATTAGCTCACTGGCAAAGAACGAAACAAACACAAGACATTGGTTCAATCCCCAGTGCTGAAAATGCATAAGCTCATAAAAATCCATCTGGAAAACAGCCCAACTGATGGCAGACATAGAGTATGGCATTAAATCCACACAGTAAATAAAATATAAACATTGGTTAGGATTATTATTAGTCTATAAATTGCAGGTGAAAGATGAGAGAGTTGAGATGTTATGGCTTGTAAGTTGATCAATATTAATCCAGTAATGCTAAAGTTTGTAAGGTGGGAATCTGATCAATACTGGCAGAGAAGACACAAATGTGCCCAATCACTCTGGAAGGAAAGTGGAAATATACGGTTGAAAAATGTATGTGCGTACATGCATATGTGTGTCCATATATATTCCACTCTGAGGTATATATCCTTTCCTTTAAAAAAAAAACTTGCAAATCTGCATTGGTAGCATTGTGCTTGTAATAGAAAAAAAAAAATACCAAAATAACCCAAGTGTTCATTTCAGGAGTGTGAATAAATTATAGCATTCTCTATCCAGAATGCGTACATCTTTAAAAAGTAACTTACCATAACCGTGTGTGTTATCTGGGTAAGTTGGTATCTCACTGAATGAAGGAAGCTAATTTCAGAAGATGACATTGGCTGTGATTTTTTTTTTTTTTTTTTGAGCTTCAGTCACAAGAGAATTGAAGCCATATTGTTCATTGAAACCCACGTGAATAAGGTTTACAGAGGAGGACGCTTGTGATGGTGTGTATCTGAAGTGTTCCTCAATGGATCATTGTGAAGGCTGAGTCTGCATGGCCGCCTTGTCCAGAGGCGGAGCTTTTAGAAGGTGACAGGAGCGTGAGCTCTCTATCCAGAGTGAACTGGAAGTGGGATGAGACTGTGAAAGCTCAAGCTCATCCCTCAATGACACATTCCTCCACTAAATCCGCATTTCCTAAAGGTTCCAGGACCTTCCCGAACAGCGCTGTGAGCTCTTATACAAAAAGCAGCCTTGGGGAGAAAAGAGTTTATTCGGTTTCTACTTCCTAGTTATAATCCATTGTTTTGAGAAAGCGAAGGCAGGAACTCAGGTAGCTGGTTATGTGACACTCTCTGCGTTCATACCTGTGCCAGACCTGT